TCAAATAATCAGAAACAGTGACGGTGTTACCGCAGTAGAAGGTTGGCTGTTGCTAGGACTTATTACGTAGACAAGCGCCTCGACATCCTCGACGTAGATGATGGTGGTAGTGGCGTATTCATTAAGATCAATTATCCTTTACTGTTAATAAGTCAGAGCGGCAGAACGCCGATTCCTAATCTCTAAGATTTTGTCCAAGAGGACAGTGCTTCGGCCATTCTCCCGTGACCGTCAGAGACTGGTCCTATAGTGTCAGTACAGTTTTGTTTATCGACAACTTCAAGCATAAGAACAAGTCCAAATAGGCTTCTAACTTGCCTGTTTCGACTCGACTAGCATTCAGGGCCATTCCTTTCGTTACAAATCCTCTTCTGCTAGGATCTTGTCTTGTCGCGAGTAGTCTATGCTTCCCGTTTCAGCTCCTCCTACTGAATAGCCCAGCCTGGACCAACTTCGTCTACCGCAGTCTACCGCGTTCACTTTACTTGGTCTTTCTGTACTTAATCTAGCACCGTTCTATTCGATACGTTCGTCTGTGTCACAATCCGCTTTTGGATCCGGGATCAGACAATAGCACATATAATAAGCTGTACGAGACTATGTACTTGTTCTGAAACTTAGCAACACGTTCTCACGGTGGTACTTATAGTGCCCGTGAGGATTGATGTCGCTGCTTGGATCTGTTGCATGTACGCTTGGTCAATAGACCGGCTGAACCCCAATGAACAGTCTGGGGTAGTGCATCGCATCTCATCCCTAAGCTGTCCTCGTAACTATACAGGGCAAACTGAACGCCTGCTCGGCTCGCGCATACACGAACATAAGCGGGCTTTCAGGTGGGTTGACGCTTTATTGCAAGTGGCGGCCCACACCTACGAGACGGGTCACGAGTTTAATTTCGCAGTTGTGATGATAATCGCCCTCGCCGGCAGCAAGACAGGCCGAGAATTGATTGAAGCCTGGCCCTCGGATGAGAATTCAGTTAGCCGATCTGGCGCCGGCGTACACTGCTCTCCGCAGGCATATTCGCACGGCCGACACTTTTGATTAATGAATTGCCTCCCCCCGTTTAACGGTTGATTGGCTCCCGCCCGCTATAACCGCTGCTTGTTTTTCGTGCACGCTTTTATCTCTGACGATAAGCTCCCTCAAGAGCCCGAAAGCTCAGGATACTAAACAAACTGGTCCGGTGCTCGACAATCCTTCTTCCTTATCCATGCAAATGCCTGGAACGCGAATGCTCTCCTTCATTCGTGAACTTCCAAATCTGTGCAACCTCAGACTGCTGAGCGCAAACCAACAACAAACCTATCGTGCGAAACGCGGGTTTATGTACTTTGTTACTAATTATAATTTTCTCTGCCTCAGCGCCACCCCTTGAAACGGCTCGATATCCAGCTAAACGGTTCAATCAAGGTTATTCTTTCCTGCTCATAAGTAACATTGCTCCAACTTTACCGCACACTAAGAGCCAATTAAAGCTTCTTCAAACACCCTCCTATCCATAAAAATTCGATTAAGACTGAAAAGCTGCTATGTCTGCAAAATAGGGAGTTTCAAATTGCCGTCCAATAAGGCTTTATTCTATCGTCTAGCTCAAGCTCCGGGCATTGGTGCTGACATGCAATCCGATGCCATTTGGATAACACTGTGGTACCGGTACATACGAAGGCCTGGAAACCGTATTGTTTCATAATGTCAAAAGGTTATTTCAATTCCAGACATAAAGACAGTCAAGAATATTTTTAAAATTCCCCTAGGCTAAAAAAGCGAATTGCAAACATTACATGCTGTTTAACTCTTACATGGGAAGCCACTGGCCCAATCAATATTCTTAGAAAAAACTTCATTCGATAATGCAGAGGGAGGGGTACAATATCTAGTATTTAGTTCTCAACGTTTACGTAGTCTGAATAATCCAAGGATGCTTAGTTGGTCAATAATTAAAAATAACTCTGCGTAACTCTTACGTCGCTAGGGTAATGAGGTCCATTATCCAATCCTAAGCAGATTGACTTGCAGCGAACAAATATTTGGCGCCCTAAACATTGCTTTGGCAACCGCACATTTTGATTGTACTTACTTGTGCTTGTTGCGGCTGCGATCTTGACTGATCCAGCCGGCCTCGGTGATGTCCCGGTCGGTACTACTCCACGCGCGACGATGCCTGGCAATAGACCTGGACAGATCGGTCCATTATCTTAGTCAGCGCAGGAGATCGAATACCGAAGGTCTAAGAA